CCTTCGGGGCCAACGGGCCGCGCGCCGAGGCCGCCGTGGGAACGACGCACCCCTTCTCCGGCCCTGGGGCGGGGCTGGGGTCGCGGTCCGGGCCCATGGGCGCGCCGCCCCCGTCCCCCGGCCTGCCCCCTTCCTGGGCCGCGATGATGGCGGCCCTGTACCCGAGCACTGACCTCTCGGGCGCCTCCTCCTCCTCCCTGCCTTCTTCCCCATCCTCCGCCTCGCCTCCGAACGAAGTGATGGCGCTGAAGGATGTGCGGGAGGTGAAGGAGGAGAACTCCCTGAATGAGAAGCTGTTCTTGCTGGCGTGCGACAAGGGTGAGAGTTAGGCCCCTTCCTCCGCCTCGGGACGCCCCTCGCGCCGCCCGCGCCGCCCGGGCACACTCTCCCGCCGCGCCGCCCCCGCCGCGCCCCGGGACCCGGTGCGCGCCCTGCGGCGCTGGCCTCCCTTCGGCGGTCAGGCGTGGAGGTGCGCTCGTGGGAGCCCACCCCAGCTCCGATCCCGCGGAAGATCTGGTCCCCTTCGGCCCCCACTTCTTTTGGGACCTGAGCGCCTAGTCTCGGACCTTGCGGTCCGAAAATTCCGTAACCTTTCCTAAAGATTCCTCCTCTCTATGGGCTCTGACTTGACTTTTGTTGTTGTTTTAAAAAGTCTCTTCTGTTATTTAGCTTTAGTTACCCAGTGCCTCGGTCAGGGATGGTTAAATGGAATTAGGTGTTTGTATGTATCTGTCCTAGGTAGAGAAACGTGAAGTAAGAATAGAACTGGAGAAATTCCTCCTTAGTTCCCGAAACTTACTCCAAGCTTAAAGAACATCTTTGTTCGTGGTTTTTATTAGAAACTGCACCAGAGCCTTCTTTAGGGGATAAAGACAGTGAAAGATAATTACAGAGAGAAAATAGATGCGGTGGATTTAGTGTGTTTTCTTTTTTAATCTAGAAATTCTAGAGTAAATCTAGAAATTCATCATTTTTATGGCTGTATTAAAAGTCTTGGCCTTACGCAAGCTTTCAAGTGATGTATATAATAAAAGAAATTGGAGGGGCTGGGGATGTAGCTCAGCGTGAGTTCGATTCCCGTACCGGAAAAAAACAAAAACAAAAACAATCAAAAAAAGACTAGGGAAGTTAGAGATTGCCCTCAGACTGCTTTATTTCCTACAGGAAAAAAAGTACTGACAGTCTCCTGTTTCTAAATTTAGGCAGCTTGCCGTACAGTGGCCGTGCTCACTTAAGAAAAGCCTATTAAAACCTAGACATCCTAAACGTATACTGTCTCCTAAGAGCAATTGGCACCACAAAAGATGTTTGCCTGTATGTGTGTGTTTTAAGTAAACGGCAGTAACTTTTCTTACTGCTTTTGAAGTAGGGTTTTATTTATACAGCTTTATAAAAGTACATTAACATATAAAAAAGTTCACCTGTGCTTACTTGTTAAGCCACTTTTTTTTTGGTATCGGAACTCGAACTCAAGACCTCATGCTTGCCAGGCAAGCGCTGCCCCACTGAGCTAAACCCCGGCTGTTAAGCCACTTTAATGTTCTCCTATAGTAGTAGTAAATAATACGAAGATACTTGTTAAAGTCTACCATAGATACAACTTTGAATAGTTTTGGAAATGTAAAGAAACGTAACATCATAAAAATTACAGTCTATGTAATATTATTTATTTATTTATTTATTTTTTTTTTTTTTTTTTTTTTTTTTTTTTTTTTTTTTTTTTTTGGTTTTTCTCCGGTACCAGGAACTGAACTCACGACCTTGCGCTTGCCAGGCAGGCGCTTTGCCGCTGAGCTAAATCCCCAGCCCCATATGTAATATTATTTAATATTGCTGGATTACCTTGCGTTCTCTTCCGTCAAAATTTCTGAGTTGGGAAGGGAAAAGATTGTCTTATATTAGAATAAGTGGTCATTGCTACCCTAGCTCCTGTGTTGTGGATATTTTAAAGCAAATAGAAAAGGAATTTGATATTCTTGTTAAACTTGAGGACAGAAATGTCATAATGAAATAGCCATGGTATTTACATGGTGTATATATTTAGGATTATTGCGTGACATTTCAAAGAGTTTTAACTGATGACAGTTTTATACCCTATTCATAGTAACATTTGAAACAGCTTGATATTATTAGTTTCCCATGTTATAACATCAAGATCCTTGGACAGATTGGCTTTTGGAGGTGAGATAGAACCTGAATATGCATGCTTTATCCCTGCATGTGAAGTTTTTCAAAAGGAGAGATAAAATCGGTATCTTCTGTGTTTCAGATATATTGAAACAAGTTCTTTGGTTAATTTTGGAATATTTATTACACATGCTTTTCATATACATTTCAATTCGAGATAGAGGAGTACATTTTTTGCTTATATGTTTGTTTGCACTAATATTGGTAAACATTTTTTAGTGTTGCCTAAATCAAATCTAAAAGTGAAACATTTCCTGAAGTAGCAGTAACTTCTCCCATTATATTGGGATCTTCATCCGACCAAACAGCAAACTTTTATTAAAACAGCTAGTGGAATAGAGTGTTCCTGCTTTTTATAGACAGTGTCATTTAATGTATGTCTGTGAGCCAGATCGGGGTGTGTGTGTGTGTGTGTGTGTGTGTGTGTGTGTCTGTCTGTGCCTATGTTGTATCTATCTGGTTATAGTTGAATGAAAATCATTTGTGTCAGAAAAGATATCTCCACTTTTGGATTTACTAGTTGGAAATTACACTTGCTTTGTGTGGTTGTTTTATAAATCTTGAATTCTTTGAGTTAAATGTATTCAATAAAGATAAAAGGTAAATATGGTACTTACAGAGCACCACACAAATCAATCTTACCATTTAACAATGTTAATCTGAATGCTAAAATGTTTAGAATAGGGAATCTAGGAATTCCTAAAGGAAAACTTGTGGAAATGAGATGGTCATTTGTATATCAGTGACTGGGTGGCCCTTGGAAAAGTGTGTACAGGTGAAAGAATAAACAAAAATGTAGAAAACGTTTTTATAGTTTTTAATAGCTGGCTTTTATGTAAAGGAGGTCAGTAGACCTAGGCAATTGCACATCGAAGTAGTAGCCACTTGATAATGGCAATTGCTGGTCTTCACTGTGGGCCAGGATCGTCTCAAAGATAACACTTTGTATAAATTGTGTGAAGTTTGTATAAATTTGTATAAAATTTTGGAAAATAATTGAAAGTTTGTGTTCTAGAGATATAAAGTTCAGTCTGGAGCCCCTGAATGAAATTATTTTTAGACATGGACCTCTAATTCAGAGGTCAAGACTAATTGAAAGAGGAGCTGACTATAAGTGTAGATAGTTAAATAGTAACAATTCTGACCACCTCCACTGTTTCCTCCCTCACTGAGAGTTAATGTGCCAGTGAGCCCCTTGTATCTGTAGGAACCTGTGGTATCTGTCCCTTGCTGACTGAAGAATGGGTAAATAACGCTTACTTAAATACCTACACTAAGTACGATCCATTTTAATTTTCCTCATTTAAAGTAACTGTTGAGCCTGGTTTTTAATATATATTCATGAACGTAAACCCTTTAATTTGCTGATGATCAGTAATTCTTCTGCAGGAAAAAAGCAGTATAAAAGGCTTTTGTGCCTGCCAAGTCTTCATGGAGAATGTTTTTGGGAAATTTAATTTGTAATTGAATCAGCAGTTCCATCTTGACATTTCAGCATGGGGGCGGAGGAAGAATATGGAAGGCACAGTTTCACCATCCTGCTTGTGCTCAGTGTATTTTGTTCTCCGTCACCTTTGTGATGTGGTTATAAGAAAGGATCTTTTGATGATAGAGCTCCTACATAAGTGTTTTGTACTTTTGAGCTAAGGATAAGCTGCTGTTTTATTACCTTAATATGTTTGATGGAAATTTTTTGTTTTGGCTATTTGAGAAAAGATTTTTGAAGAGAGAGGTTAAAGCAAGGGTTAGGGCAAGTTGGAAGAAAACATGCAGTGTGTTGGGTATTGCTGAGTGTTATGTTGACATGTGGCACCTGATGGAAAGAGGTATGCACCATGAGGGAAGAATACTTTTCAGAAAGGAGAAAGTGAGAGAGTATGGTAGGCCTTGCTCTACAAGCATTTCCAGGTTGTCATTAGGTGTACCACCTAAATACATCATACAGGAAAGCTTTTCAAATCAGCGAAGTTTCAGAATGTACTGAGAAATACTGCCATAGGAAGTAGTTCATAGTTATTGTAACAAAAAAGCAAAACAGAAAGACTGGTAAGTCACCAGAATATTGAAAATTGACGTATAACACAATTTTTGTTTTTTTTTAAGACAGGGTTTCGCTGTACAGTTCAGGCTGGCCTTGAACTCACTATGTAGCTCACGCTGGCCTAGAACTCAGCGATTCATCTCCTGCCTCTGGATTACAGGGGTGCACCACCATGCCCTGCTTAACACAGCTGTCTCCCAGTTCTGTAATACAGGCATTTCTTTGTAGCAATCCCATAAGTGTGTGTTTTTTTAAAATTTTTATTTTGCTATTCTTTTATATGTTATCAGAAACATATAGTTCTTGTGTTAAGGCATTGGAAAAGTGCTTTATCAATAAATGAAGGACTGCATCCCTATCTTTTAGTTCATTTTTTTTGTAATGAAGATGTTTTCTTGTGCTATAAGTGAGGACAGTAAGAACAGTATGTTTGTGTACAATAGATCTGTCTGAGGGAAGAAGCAAATGCTCTGTTTAATTTAAATGGTATACAGTATATGTCATTTGGAAGATGGGCTATTCCTAGCACAGAGGAATCTCTTTATCTGGTCAGTTAAGAGAAAAAAAGATATCCAAGGCAAACCCCTATCCCTTGTATTTTACAAGGTTGAAGGATGTTAAAAGATTAACATTTGATTTTATAGATACTGTTATAGCCTAAAAATAATTTCTCTTTTTGCTGCTAGTACTGTGTTTTATTGATGGCTAACTGTACCAAATTTAATCAAATGGAGAAGATCTAGGATTAGTAGTTTAATAGGTAATGAGTTCAGAAGTTGTGATTCTAAGTAGTGACTTTTAAGAGCCAAAAGGAGTGATCAGGACTAAAAAATTCCAGCACCATATCAGTGTGAGGTCCAATAGAATTTCTTTGGATGCAAAAGTTTTTCCTTCTAATGAAATCTGTTTTAAGCATGACAGAAAAAAAAAGCATGACAGGAACATTCTAACCTCCAGCACTTCATAACTAACTTTTAAGTTTTATTAGTAAAATTAAAACTGATGAACATCAATGTTCCCATTTTATTAATGGTGAAATTCACCATAATATGCCAGAAATTCAAATGGGATGCTGATGAGGAAAGATGGAATCACATTTTCTTAATACTGTAACATTTCTTATTTCTTGTTTTTTTTTTTGGTTTTGTTTGTTTGTTTATTTATTTATTTATTTTTTTTTTGAGACAAGGTCTCATTGTAGTCCAGACTGGCCTTGAACTCACAGTGGTCTTCCTGCCTCAGCCTCTGGAGTGCTGGGGTTACAGATGTGCACCACAACACCTGGCTGTCCACTGTATTTCTTAAGGGTTTATCAAGGGTGGAATATTTCTTGCAAAATAATTGGATTACTCTGGCATTTTATACACTACTTCATTTTTTAAATTGCAGGTTGACTTCATGACTGCTAATGGGTTGTGTGGCCTGCAGTTTGGAAAACATTGGTCTGGAACGACAGTGTGTGATAAGGGGAGTGGCACAGGGCAGTTCTGAGTGGTAGCAAGGTTCAGGTGATACAGCGTGTTGGAGGCCCCAAGTGAAAAATGTTAGCTTTTAAATGCATTAGAAAATCATGTAAAGTTGACATACTTTGTATTTAAAAAGGTCACTCTGAAGGCAGGGTGGGAAATGGATTGAAGAGTGGACCTAGAACAAGAATAATCAAATTATGGCCCACAGTTTGTGAGGCCTGTGGGCCAAGACTTTTTTTTTTACATTTCAAATGGTTAAAATTGTTTGGTTAAAACAAGAATAATATTTCATAACATGTTAAAGTTCTATAAAATTAAAGCTTCAGTGTCGATAAGCAAGATTTTGTGGAAATGTACCCATGTTTGTTTATGTGCAAACTGTGTGTAGCTGCTTTCGGGTGAAAGGGGCCAAATTGAGTAGTTGTCGTGACTGAGATGTCACAGCCCAAAAGCTTGGTATACTTACTACCTGGGCTGTTTTCAGAACAAACTTTCTGATCCTTGTGTTAGAGTATGATGTACTATGAAGTAATATGAAGTTGCGATAGGGAAGAGTCCAGTGGGAACTGAGTTCAGGTTCAGTTTGAACAGAGGGGACTGGACCTTGTACAGGGAACAGGAAGGAGTAGAGAAGAGGGTAAATGGGACTCAGTAGCGTCAGGGAAGTGAAAAATTACACAATCTAGGACATGGGTAGTTGGTTTATGTTAAACCAATCAGGGTTTGCTACCTGGCACTTAATGGAAGTTAGGATTCTACCCTCCCACAGAGGCTGGAAAATGTGAAATAGTGAAGTCTTTTGGTAGCCGAGAGTTTTCTCAGGCAGGCACTGTAAGAAGATCATCTTGTAAGGCGTCCTTGTACTGTTGGAAACCGTTTTGTTCATGTCTGTAGGCTCACAGTGAGGGCTAGCGAAGAAGAGAGCCCAGAGGAGACTGAGTAGAGTTTGGTCAAACGGAGAATCTATTTAGTAGGCTTAGAAATTAAGAGTCTGTTTCACTGTTCAAGGAGAGACAGTGGTGGCTTGGATGAGAGGCGGTAGTGTCCATGGGAACAGGGAGTGTGTTGCAGAGGGGACGGAGGTGACTTGCTAAGGGGTATACTCCCTGTGGAATTGAAGGTTTATTTGTAATTCACTGAAAAAACTACAAGCCATGTAGCTAAAAAAGTAAACAGATTGTGTTGTATTTCCTCTTTACATATATATATATATATATATATATATATATATATATATATATATACACACACGCACATATCTATTCTAAAACACAGACTTGCTTTGTAGTCCAGGATGGCCTCCAACTAACAGGTATCCTCTGAGTGCTGGAGTGATAGGCATGCACCACCACACCTGTGTTATATGTTATATTTGCAAAGACAAAAGATATATGCAATTCTTGAAAGCAATTTCAGTATAAAATGAAGGTATAAAGTATATCTGTTTGGCATACACCAGCATCTTGAATGGTAACTTTTTCTGTATAACTAGCTTCTTACTATGTATTTAATTTGTCTTTTAACTTTTTACATATATGCTCATCCTAAAAGTTTAGACAGCTTAGTCTTTTAAAATACAGTACATTGTTTTAAATGACTTGGAAATACGAACTTTGGGAATGAAGTAATATTTGGAGAGAGAATGGCTGAAATTATTACTGAATTAATGAAGGACAGAAGTCCTTAGAAAGTCGAATGAGTCCCAAGCAGGATAAGTGAGAAATTAACCCTCACTGAGACACACCATAACAAAGAAATACAGCTGAGTTTTTATGGGTACTATTGTCTCATTACTAAGGTGCAGAAATAGATTTGGCTGAGAAAAGGTTTTAAATGTTATTTCTGGTAATCATGATACATTTTTAACTGTTCTGTGTGGCCACTGCTGTGCACGTATCATTTTGTGAAGTGTTTGCTAAGTTTTTGCGTGGAGTGTTAGTGTCCAAATATTAATTGGTGGTGCTATGGCGAAAGTATTACTTTTTTGTGACTGGTTTTCTTTTTGAGGGAATTAAGTAAATACATTGTCAAGAAAATGACTATTCAACTTCTTTCAGAATGTGTAGAGACTGTAAGGTTATAGATTAAAAATAATAAATTTGTACTTTAATAAAAATTAATACCTTTCTCATTCTTTTAATCCAGTTTTAGTATTTCCCCTTTCTGTATCATGAAATCATTATTTTTCTTCTGGTTTTCACTGATTTTTCTTTCCCTGTTTCTTATTCATATCCTTCCAAGGAATAGCTATAATTTCAAGTTGCTTTTAGGTTTATTCAGCTTATGTTTAAAAAGTAAAATGAAACAAAACAAACACCTAACTAGCTTGCTTTCTTTCTCTTTTCTTTTAATTAATTCGCCTTTCTGCACCATCTCATCAGCCAATTTAGTGGGTTCTTGGTGAAAATAATTACTCTGATTTTCCCTCATGGGATAACTGTTCTGTGGGCTACAGTCAGGCAGAAGACAGTTTGTCTGCTCCTCACAAATGAAGCATTAATTCTAGTCTGCGTTAGGATTTTGTGATCTAAATGTTCCCTGGTCATTTACTTTAAACAGCCTCATTAACAAGATTGTGGTTGTGTGTGTCTCTCTCTCATACACACACACACACACACACACACACACACACACGTGCATGCACAGGTTGGGAGGATGGTGTGGAGGGGATTTCCAGGCAGCTGTCCCTCCCACTGTACATACCCACCAGCATATACACTGCTTTTCAAAAGTATGCTTTCTCCTTTAGAAACTCTTTATAATAGTCTCTATTTATGATTTCATTTTTAAGATTATGATATAAAAGTGAATGTATATATATATTTGGGATATGAAACTTACTCCTTTAAGGTTCTTATTTTTCTAGGTGCCAGTCTGCATCTAGGGGCATTCTTTATTAAATTGTTTCACATATCTTCAAGTTTCTCTCCTTATAATCATCCACTTAGGAATTTTAGATTACTAACTTTTACTTCACATCGCATTATAAAAGTTTTCTACCTGCTCTTTACATATATTTGCTGCCGGTGCGTGTATGATTTTATCAGGATACAAGCTCTTCTCCAGGAAGTGTTCCTATTTTCTGTGCACATTTCCATATACAAAAATAAATATAGCTGTTTTTAGTTTTAATTCAACAAGCTAAATTTTTCTTTATAGTCATTTTTAATATGTCTTGAATATTAAATTATGTTTGTATATTGTTACTTAGGTGACTATTATATGGTTAAAAAGATTTTGGAGGAAAACAATTCAGGTGACTTGAACATAAATTGCGTAGATGTGCTTGGGAGAAATGCCATTACCATAACTATTGAAAACGAAAACTTGGATATACTTCAGCTTCTTTTGGACTACGGTTGTCAGGTACAAGGCTAGAAAATTTTATCTAGTAGCTTCTAAGAAATGTTAGATATGCTCTGTTTTCATCTTTCCTTTCGGTTTGGTTTCTTTTTATTTTCTTCCTCTCTTTCTCTTCTTCACCTTCTATTTGTTGAGCCACTAAGAAATTTAAAATATAAACCAAAAAGCCATTTTAGTGTGATATTTTGATTTACCTTTTCCTGTCATCATCTTTCCCTACATCTGATACAGGTAAAGACTTTGTTTTTTTACCTATATTGTCACTATTTACATTATATACCTAAAATTAGTACAAGTGTTCTGCAAGTGTCAAGGGGACAAATTTTTTTCCTGTGATTTATAGGCATACAAACAAAATGCTCCTGACTCACAAATAATTTTGTTTGACTTTGATTTTCTTCTTAAATTTATAAAATTTTCCTTTTCATTTGAAATTTAATATTTACTTATGTCTAAAAATGAGTGATTTTTATTTTAACCAGAAAAGATAAACCTTTGTGTTTGGCTTTATAGCCATTCAAATAGAAAAGCAGACATACATATACATCTCAAAAGAATTAAGTCTAAATATTCTGAAGGAAGTGTAATAATAATATTGTTTTCTTCTCCTTTTTTGGTTGAACTCATGTTGGGACTTAGCAATGAATTCTAGCTTTTTTTTTTGAGACAGGGTCTCACTGTATTTCAGACTGGCCTTGAACTCACTATGTAGCCTAGGCTAGCCTCGAACTCACAGCAGTCCTTTCGCTGCAGCCTCCCAAGCCTGAGCGCTGGGATTACAGGCATGTGCCACCACACCTGACTTCTTTTTTTCTTGATAGGGCATATTTTTTGAATGATATCAGGAAGCACTCACAGCAGGCTTTCTGAACATAAGTAGCTACTTCTGTGTACATGTACATAGTACTGTGTGGTACCATGTCACATATATATTCTTAGAATAAAAAAAGAAGTTGTGAACCCAACAAGCTCAGCTATCCAGGACACAAGTTAGAACCATAAAGTAAGTGCAGTGTACCTCTAAGCAACCAGGGTAGCTGTGATGAAGTTTCCAAATTAAGTTTAATTGCAGAACTACTTCAGGAACCCACCTTCAAAGTCAGTTTTTCGTTTTTTATTTTAGATTCCATTTTAGCAAACTTAATTTCTTAATCCAGGGAGAATTAGAAGGGCGGTGGAAGGGGCATTAGAGTTGCACCGCAACAAAGTGAGACAGAGTATCTTGGAGACTATTTAGTAAGGAGGTCAGCAGCGTTTCCTATCTGATAATCTCTGAAAGAGCTATGAATTAGAATGATAATTACAATTTATAATAGCGGACTAGAATCAGTAAGGAAAAGTTAAATTATATTCAGTATCTGTTAGTTTACAAGAAAAATATGTAGTACTCTGAAAGTAGATTTCCACCACATGGTTCACATTTTAATGTTAAACACTTAAAGGCATAAGCTTCAGTTATTTAGAAAAAAAGTTTATAAAGAAATTCAGTCCCTGATGATTCTGGATAAAAGATGTATTACGGTATAATATCTATGTTTATATATATATATGGTTATATGTATATAATTCTGCAGCATTCATATTTTTCATATTCTTGATTGCATTCGAACATCAGTGTCAACTTGTGTAGATGTTCTTTTACAGATCAAAAAACTGAGGCTCATAGACTTTAATGAATTGCCCAGAGTTTTAAAATTAGTAAAGGCAGAGCTAAGCATTTCATCTTCTGACTGCAAATTCCATACTCTTTCCAATTCACTGTTTCGTATCCAGGCTACCTGTGTCTTGTTCTACCAGTCAATATCCAGGGCCTTTATTTGAGTGTAAGGTTATAGAAATGAATAAGGAAAATATGGGTTCTTTGCTAAAGGATTTTAAATGATTTAGAAAATCAAAGTGAATATAAATGATAAATCAATTGGATAGTACAAAAGTATATTTAATAAGTGCTGAGTAGTAATAATGCTTGACCCTTGTATATTGCTTTACAGTTTCAGAGTACTTTCTTGTATTTTATCCTGTGTTACATCAGTGTTTTTCAGTCGAATGATGGACATTGGCAATGTCTGGAGACATTTGTAGTTTCACAGTTTGGAGGCAGCTTACTACTCGTATCTAGAGGGTAGAGGCTAGGTATGCTGTTGAACATCCTGTAATGTATAGGATGGCTGCCACAATTTTAAAAATATATCTGGCCCAAAATGTCAGTAGTACCACTACTGGAAAACCCTGTCTTATACTTAAACTCTTATTATTCAGTATGAATATTTTAGAAATACAGAGAAGCGTAAGGTCATTGAGGGTTGGATTTATTGGGAAGGGTTTCATTGGAATAGTGTCAGTTGAGGTCAGCCTTGAAATATTGCTGATACTTATGACACTAGCCTGTGTCAACAAGTTTAAATATATTCTCTTAATTCTCACAGCAGCCTAAAGGATATAAACAAAAACAGGTACTGTGTGTGTGTGTGTGTGTGTGTGTGTGTGTGTGTATTTTGGGGGGGATTGAGATAGGGTCTTGCTATGTAGTTCAGGCTGACCTTGAACTCACTATGTAGCCCAGGCTGTCCATGAACTCACAGCAGTCTTCCTGTCTCAGCCTCCCAAGTGCCGGATATACAGGCATGCACCACCATGCCTGATGCAGTGTATATTCTTGAGATACTTAATTGGCAGACTTATTTTGTATTTGTGCTTTTAAAAATTTTAGTTTATTAGTGTATGTGTATAGTACATAATATTTATGTTCCTTGTGGGAAGTTGGTACATAATACATCCTGATTCCTATCTTTCGTCCTTTATCCCTTCCCTCCCTTCCCCCTCCCTCCATCTCTGGATCTCCTTCCCCTTTGAGAACGGTCTGTCTCCCTTCTTCCTATTATCTGTCTTTTAGTTTGCTCTTTATTTTTACACTTAATAACCTTCTTGAACAAAATATTTGGGCTGGAGAATAATGAAAATTAAAAGGAAAAATAAAAGCTGATGAAAAAGGCCTTGAATACTAGGCTGAAAAATTACAGTGAGATATGATTAAATAAATTTTGAGAAAGGGTATGATATGTGTCAACTATTTAGAAAGATAAATCTAGTAGCTGAAGTTAGTATAGAGTAGAAAAGTAGGGAAGACTATAGCTCACATGAGCAGTGTTCGTAGTGATCCAGAGAGGAAGACGTTGAGGCCTGAACTCACAGAGTGGCTGTAAGAAAGGGGGAAAGGCAGATAAGAGAGAGGTTGTAAAGGAAGAAGTGACAGGTGTTAGTGAATTTTTAAATTTGGAAGGGAGAATTGAGAAGGAGTCTAACATGATTTGGAAATCTTAAACATGGGTAACTGGAAGGAGGATGAAAGAAAACCAAAAGAGAAATCAGGCTTGGAGCAAAGGAAAATGATTTCTGGTTTTAGCCCTGTTGATTTGGAGGCCATCAGGCAGCTCTCAATGGGTAATCACAGGTGAAGGTCACATCTCCAGGGAGTGTCAGGCAAAAGAGATACAGTAGCCATGCATGATGGCTGTAATCTATAATCTCAGCTACTCAGGAAGCTGAGGCAGGATGATCCAAGTTGAGGTCAGCCTGGGCAACTTATTGAGACCCTATCTCAAAAAATAAAGAGAGGTGTGAATGTAGCTCAATGGTAGACTCCTTGCCTTTTATGCATGAGGTCCTGGGTTCAACCATGGTGCTGCAAAATGAATAGCGAGGTAGATAAGGAGAGAGAGAGATACAATGGGCAATCATAGGCATGAGGAGGACCACTGATGTCATGCAGGTAGGTGAAGTCAAGAGTAAAGCAAAGGACTGGTGCAAGTTCATTCTTAGAGTGCCTACATTTAATAAAGGGCGTTAGAAGGAAAGCATGTCATTGAAAGAGACCAAATGAATGATGGAAGATGCTGGGGGCAGTTAAGATAATGTGGCAGTGTGAAAGACAAAAAAAATGTTTAATATGTTATTAGAAATCTGTCCGGGGATATAGTTTAGCTTCAGAGTGCCTGCCTGGCAAGCACGAAGTCCTGAGTTTGATTCCTGGTACCAAAAAAAAAAAAAAAAAAAAAAAAAAAAAAACCACCAAAAACAAAAAACCAAAGTCTTAAAAGATAAGTAGATAGTAAAGGTTGTTGGATTTTGAACGTATTGAATCAGTAGAATTAGAGAAAATGATGCACATTGATTTGAGAAGTTTGACACAGCGAAAGCAAGAGGAAAATGGAGTAGTAAGACGAAGACGGGATGAATTAAATTAGCAAAGAGTGAGGAAGGATTTAAAGTTAAAGTGAGAGCTGAAACTGGTATTTCTGTTAATGAAGGACCAAGCTCCTATTGAAGACTGGGGGCTTTACATAGAATACTAAGGTGAAAAATTGGAAGGGAAATAACTAGTTTCTTTCCTTTACCTAAGAGGAAAGAGCATGGGGATTGTTGAAAAGACGAATTCTGAGGTGAGAAGGAAAGTAGTGACTTCATAAATACATAATAAATGTATTGAAAACATTCTAACAAGGAATGGTCAGCTACTGAGAAATTGGGGAATAAAACTAGCGAGGATATTTTGCATGCCTGTATGTATTTTAAAAATAATTTAAAATATTTTTGTTCAACAGAACTGCCATTTATTTATCAAATAATGTATTATCTATACAGAATAAGTCAGTGGTAACTCCTTATTTACATGACATTTTTACATGTATAATTGTTATAGCTGAAGCTTATCCTTTTAAGCATGAAAAGATTTAGTGTGGGTCTTTAATCTTTACTAAATAGTGTATCTGAATATAATTTAACTTTACCATGACAAGTTGGAATCATTGAGAATGTAATCATTTTACTTTGTTTCATATGGTCTGAAACTATTACCACGTTTGTCTTTACATTAAATGTCTTCAGATTGCTATCTATTGATAGTAAATTTAGTATACTAATATTTTATTTTTTGAATGGTCAACTTTTAGCAATTTTTGTCTTCCTTCCCCTGTCCTCCTTTTTTGGTTTTTATCTAGCTGTTTCCTTATTCAGTAAAGATCCAAAGACTAGTTGGGAAAGCCGGAAATTTGTCATTTATAGAGAGCACGCAATGTGCGTAGGCCTGTTGCTTTTGGGAATGTGACGGCTCTTTTTTTTCTTGCGTATTTGTATTGTTTTATATTGGAGCTGGATCCATGGCTATGTTTCCAATGGTCAAAGTTGCTGTTTGCGAGCAGTGTCATTGCTCTAGTTAGTTTCATAGATCAAAACTAAAAATTATAAATGAAATATTGTGTAGTGATGGATACAGGGTTTGTTTGTTTGCTTCAACTGACTGAATATGCTGAAACTAAAGAAAATGTTAACAAAACAGAAGACTAATCCTACAATTTAAAAGCAAGGCTATAACCCACTGAATCCTAAAATTTTTAAGGAATGAAACTGGATTAAATTTCCCACCTGGATGGAAAATTTTTCCTATTAGAAAATATAGGTGATTCCTAATGGTTGAATGAGTCCAGTCATTTAGTGAGGGTGTTTAGACCCACTTCTTGATGGCTAGGTAAAGTGGATAAAAGCTTTATTTTTTTTTAAGTACAAAGAATATAAAAAATCGAATACAGTTTCATTCCTGAGAGCAAGAATGTTGATTGATTTAAAAAGTACAAATTGAATGTAATCAGGGCGTTTTCTTAGGTTAAATTATTATTCTCATGTTTTCCTTCCGCTTTTATGGTGTTCCTTAAAAAACAACAAAAAACACAAAGAAACGTTGCCAGCAGGGCTCTAAGCTTTGTTATAGAGAGTTGAAGAGTCCCCATTTCTTCTGAGTCTGCTTACTTTTTCCTCCTGTCAAAAGTGGATCTCTACAAAGAGCTCGATACAGGTTGAGAGTAGAACCAAACAGTTACTTCTCCTCCTTTCTGCCATGAACTTTGGTAACTTAATTCTTCGTTCTCTATACTTGACAAGATTGGTAATGTTAATGTCAAATTAGGACCAGGTCATTTGGTTATGCGTGTTCTAAATACGAGAACAGAGGGCACTCTCTATATTTTACATTTTTCCTTGTTCTCATGATTGCCTTCATGCTGAGCATTTTTATTAGTCTGAGCATAATCCTTTACCTGTAGTAATAGTTCCCAGCAATTGCTTTTCTAGATTTGGAAATTTGAGATTTTTTTGGGTCCACTGTTCAAGAATAAAGGTCTTGAAAAGAAAACTCAGCTTTCAATACTGTACTGTATTCAGTAGGAAATTATTCAATTAGTAATCCCTCCTATCAGGCATTCATTATGTTGCCAGCCCACGCGCTGCAGTCAGGACAGAAATGTGTATGTTGTACACAGAAGTACTGTGAAGGCAAGCAAATGCGCTACTTGTACAAACCTGAAGTTTTGAAAATTCAATACTACTGTATATAATACAGTTAAAAATTTTAAGTAACTATGCATTAGTAAGAATAAATAGTTTTCCTTTTTATCATCCATTTTCATTTTTAACTTTTTTTTTTTTAAAGTCCGCAGATGCACTTTTGGTGGCAATCGACTCTGAAGTAGTGGGAGCTGTTGATATACTACTTAATCATCGACCAAAACGATCATCAAGACCAACCATAGTAGTTAGTACTCTTAAGTATTTACTAATTTGGGTCTTAAACCAAAGTAGCTCTCCTACCCCATTGCCATTTTTTCTTCCCCCAAATTGATGTATTTGTTTATTTTTAAGATAGATTTTTTTTTTTCACTTTGTAAAGTATAACTTTAAAGTAAGTAGACTCTTGGTAGAATAATTAGTATTGATTTTAGGAAACTTTCCTAATAGTAGTTGATATTTCTATAATTTTGTCAATGTGGACCACTGTTTTTAGTTTGGAATATTTTGCAGGTAATGTTGAAAATATTATTAGTTTTCAGATAGATTAAAGAATTAAATGTAAATAATGAAACTGTAACGCTGAAAGAAAATGTAGATGAATATTTAACTGTTTGGGAGAGGAAGGAATTTTTAAAGCATAAAAGGCAGGAGGCAAAAATCGCAGAGGCACAGTGTGACTAATACAGAAATTAAATTTCTTGAATTCGAACAGACAAAATTTAAAAAGTGATGGATAACTGGCAAAAGGTATTTGCAGCAAATATCTCAAATTAATAATTTTACTACTAGATAAACAGATGGGAAACACTGAAAACATTAGAAAAAGACATGAGAAAATCTGAGAAAATACAAATAACGTACTAAACCTACTAATGATCAAGTATGAAATACTAATTTTTGCATATCAAATTAGCAAAATTTTTTTCTTTTGAAATGGGGTCTCAGTATGTTGCCAAGACTGGTCTTGAATTTGTGAGCTCAAGCAGTTCCCTTCCTCAGCCTACTGAGTAACTGGGACTATAGATATGTGCTACCATGCCCAGTTTAACAGATAGTTTTTTAAAAAACAGTAATCCTTGATCACAAAGGAGTAGTATAGGCTTATACATGTACTACTGGTGGGGCAAGGTGTACCATTAACTAGAAAGTTGTTCATATTTCTTTGTTCTTTCTTGTCTTGAAATCTGTGAAGGAAATGGCTTTTTAAAAAGGTAGGCAGAACTGTTTATTACAGTCTTACTTGTAGCAGTGGGAAAAAAATTAACCCATCTGGGAGCCAGGGAGATAGATAGCTCAGTGGCACAAGTGCCTGCCTGGCAAATGCAAGGTCCTGAGTTCGATTCCAAGTAGTGCCCTCGCCAAGTAGCCCATCTGATGCAATGTAAATATCTACAAATAGCTGGGGTGATGATAAACTCCCTAAAAGGGAAGATAAAAAATATGAATAATTATTTATGAGTACAACATAATATTTTGTAGTCATTAAAATGATATCTTAGAAACAGTTTTTAGGAATATGGAAAAAAAGTGAGAGAAAATGAGGATAGTGAATTATACATAAAATTTGACCTAAGGTTAAAAATATGCATATAAAAGAGATTGTATATAAGTACAACAAAACATTACCTTGCAGTGGTCATCTCTTATTGATTGACCAAACTGAGGACTTTCCCCCTGGTTTTTAAATTTGTCTTTATTGCTTTTATAATTAGGAAGATAGTCACTAATAAATAAATACTGAAAAAGTGAGATACTTGTTCACCAAATTTTAAATATTATAAAACTTATTATTGGGGAAAGTATAGTGAAACAAGCAGTTTAACTGTTGGGAGTGTAAACAGAAGAAAAATACTACTTTTTAAAACAATTATAAATTGGTGGCAGTCTTCTGCCATGATCTGATAACTATGAGAAATTCTGCTGAGTTCATACTTTTATCATATGTTAACTGAAAAACTTTACTCGTTTAGATTATAAAAAAACTTGTCACTTGCTGGGCTAGTAGTGCAGCCCAGTGGTAGAACGCTTGCCTAACATGTACAAGGCCCTGGTTCTATCCACAGCATCACAAAACAAAAACAAAAATGTGACTTTCTGTAGAGGATAGTACTACCTACTCTGAGTTATCCCAACCTTTTTTTGTGTGTGTACTGGGAATCAAACTCAGGACCTTGAGCTTGCCAGGCAGGCGCTTCTATGGCCCACACCTACTTAAGTAATGATAAGAAACCAATAAGAATAAAGAGAAAATGGCTAAGCATATAGTCCCTATCCAGAGGACTAGAAGTATCTAAATTTTAGTCAGTTTTCTGCCATTTACTTTGTAGTCACTGTCACATTTTGGTATACCTTCTATCTCATCTATAACCCATTTTATTTCTTGGCAGGAAGGGTGAAATACAGTGTGCTAGATGTTGGAACTACTAATTGGTATTCCTAATCATTAAAAAACACTTTCTAGTTTGTCTTTAGGAAATAAAGATTATTCAATCTTTATTTGAATATGTCCAGTGACAGTAACGTTACGTGTAAAAGCATTATTACTTCTACAAGGCAATATTAAATACTCTGTATGCTTTCTTTTACTGTTTCAGTGAATTAATTCTGTATTCTTGGCTTACCAAAATTATCTTTTGTGCAATTGACTTTCAAATGTTTTCTTGGTAGTATTTGATTATGTTATAAGCAATGAAATTATTTAAATAATAATTTAATCTTATGCATATATAATGCTTTTCATATAGTTAAATCTCTTTAATGCTTTTCATATAGTTTAATCTCTTGGGATTAAATACAATTTTCTATATGACCAATAATGCAATAAGAGGAAAAAGAGCTAACTTTAGGATTCTCTGTAATTGTTAAATAAATTCATTAGCTTGAATTCTCCAGTAAATAAATAGAAAGTATATAAACAGACTTCATAAAAGGAGAAAAACAGCTAAGTATATCAGCAAATATTAAAACAGCAGTAACCAAATAAAAGTAAATTAAAATTTTGTAATAATATATTTTCACTCATAAATTAAGAGTGATCATGCCCAGTGAGTACCGCTTTAGTATGAAATGATGCATGTTATGTTATTGGTCATATAAATTATTAAGAGGCTTTTGACATTATGGATCAAGAGCTTCAAAACTGTTCATGGCAGTACACCTATAATTTCAGTTCTTAATGGTCTGTGTGAATGAGATAATCCTTAATTTGCAAAATACTATTTTCATGAAGATGTTTGCTGTAGTGTTTTTTTAATTAGCAAAATATAAACACAGAGCCTATGATTTTTCTTAAATTAAATGCAAAATTCTGTGCATGAATTTTTCTCTTTGAAGATCCTGGGCTGTAACTTTTACAAGATTATTAAAAGAGTCCTTGAACTTTGAAATATTAAGAGCCATGTTTTTAACCACTGGTGCTTAATATACCTGTTTGTGCAAAAGATGACCTTAAAAGGGTGTTTGATAGAGAAAGGACCAGAAGGATATACTGTACTGTAAAATGTTATTTGGTAGAAGGAATATGGGTATTTTTATCCTTCTTTCTGCTTTTCTCTATTTTTCAGATATTTTATAATGAGTGTACACTACTTTTACAATGTTAATAAAAATTATCAAAATGTGAACTTGAGCTTACACTGGAATCAAACAGCTCTCAGGGAAACCTCTGCAAAAAAGTGAGAAGCATTAGAAAGAATGTGCAATAGTCATAAAATAGTTCACTTTTTTGTTTAACCCTGATTCTTTAACTGTTAATATTTTTTCTCATTTCATGTCATCACCAGGCCAGTGGGCCCACGTAGTGGAAGGAGCTCAGGCTCCTGAATAATAAATACAAACCTAGATTAATCATAATAATAGTAATACAGACCCACTCTTTTGTATGGCTTGGGCACATTAACTTCTCTGAGCCTCAGTTTCTTTGTGGGGATTAATTATGCTCAGTTTTGCAGGCTACCAGGGGGATTAAGTGAGATGATAAATGTGAAATGCCTAATAGTTCCAGGACTCATTATTAGTAGTTATGATTATTAGCACTTTTTGGATTTGTAATAGGAACTAGTGTAGGCAGTGGTTGGGAATGTGTAGAGAATTATACAACATAAAGAGTACTTTCTATTTACACACCTTTTTCAAGTTGCTTCATTGCTTTAATGTGACAGGGTTTACCTTCCAGGTAGAATTTTTAGTTTCTCTCATTCATTTGTAGTCTGCCTTTTTTTTTTTTTTTTAAAAAGATTTCCACTTTCTATTATATTCTTTTTCTAAAATTGTTGGTCTTTATCCTTGCCGTGCATGCTTCTCTAATCTTGTAAAAACTAAACACTTTTTCCTAAGGTATTTCTCTATCTATCCTAACTTCTCCTTTGGTAGGGAAACAGAACTCTAGTTATATGAATGTTATCTATTGAATTTTACCTGTTACGATATACTGCATTTATTAATTAAAGTTTTTGAAGTTTAAAAAAATTCATTCCAAATAAAATGTTCTTTATATTCCTTAAACATTTCTGAAGCTTTTTTCCTTCTTATTTTTTCATTTCTTTTTTATTTCTTTATTTATTTTAATTTATTTTTATTTCATCCTTAAGATAAATGTATTTTTTGAAATCAGAAATAATAATTTTTGGACATTGATATAAATATTTTTCAGAAACTAATGGAACGAATTCAAAATCCTGAATATTCAACAACTATGGATGTTGCACCTGTCATTTTAGCTGCTCATCGTAATAACTATGAAATTCTTACGATGCTCTTAAAACAGGATGTGTCTCTACCCAAACCTCATGCAGTTGGCTGTGAATGCACATTGTGTTCCGCAAAAAACAAAAAGGATAGCCTTCGACATTCCAGGTTGGAAAATTACAACTTTTGATAAATAGATTTGTGATATAGTTAGTGGATGTCAGTGATGTTGGGTTTTTAAAATTGGTATTCCTTCTATGCAGCTTTTAAGGAATGTGCTAACAGGTGATTTAGGAAAGCCAGATTGCTAGCTCCTTCGCTCTTTGAATTTTTCAGAAATGTTTGTTAATGCTAAGTAATTAGGAAATGAATGAAGTTCATATTGCTGATGGACGGGGATGCTATTCACTTTGCAGAGGCACAGTTTATGAGTCCAAGAAAACTTCCAAGTAGTGGAAGGAGTAGAGGTACTATTTTCTATGTCATTTATAAGGAAATCAAAACAATATTCTGGTCTATCATCAGGCATGTTATCCATCGCACCACTAGCCCACCAAATTATTTTGTTTAAATATTTGACCTGTTTGGTCTTCTGTCCTCTCGTAGACAATATTTAAGTCTTTGTTTCCCCCTGCTTATCGTTTCTTCCTGTTTCCCTAGTTGAAAATGTTATGAACAATGGAGATGATTGATCAAGAAAGTACTTTGTAACGTACAAGTTGAATAAAATCACAAACATGTATAAGGTGTATGGCTCTGGTATAGATTTGAGAATCTTAATTTTGGGCTTATGCCTTTGGTTTGGTTTAAATAGGTTTTTCTCATGTTGGCATTGTGCTTTTGTTGAGAGGTGGAGCCTTTGGAAGGTAATTGGGTCCTGAGGCATTTTGTAGGAATAAATGTCTTTCTCAGAAGACTGTTAGTTCTTTTGAATCTGGATTAGTTCTCATGGTAATGAACTAGACTGTTCCCCTTCTCTGCCCCTTGCACAGGTGTGCCTTTTTCTGCGTGTGCCTGTTTTTGCTTTCTTCTAGGAAACCCTTACTGCAAGCAGAGCAGACACAGGCACTGTGCTCTTGGACTTCCCAGAACCATGAACTAAAATAAATCTTTTTTTAAAAAATAAATTATCCATTCTGAGTATTCTGATAAAGCAACAAAAAGACATTAGCCTCTATATGTATAGTTGTACCTTAGTTTATGAACGCTTTTGTTGGCAAACAGTTTGGTTCACAAACCGAAACACTGGCAAAATTTCATTTTTGTTTGGAACTCTGCATTGGGTGATGGACACACATGAATGTGGTCATCTTTTCTACAATCATGGAATGAATAAATTACATTGATGCAGATACCACTGCACACATAATTAAAAATAATAAATTATAGTAATTAAGCACGCCATTTATATATATGCAAATAGTAATTAAATATAATTAGTTGATACAGTATCAAGGGTAATATCTACTCTGGAAAATAGAAGTCCCAAGCAGCCTGTTGAAATAATTTTTAAGTTAAGAGTTTTTGGATAGTATGTAAAATAAAATTTAAACCTTCAAACCGTTCTCTCCTTCTTTTTCTTATTTGCATACTCTGGATGTATTGTCAGTCACAAATCCATAAATTGGGAAAGCTTTCTAGGGACCAACTTAATGTTTATTTGAGGAAGTTTAATTAGAAATGGTCTATATTTTCAGGTTTATTTTTCAAACAGAGTTATGTTCTCTTTGGTAAGATCTGATTGATGGTTATGGCTATATCACTTTACTTTTTAGTTTTAAAATGACAAGGAAAATTATCTTAAGGCTTCTTTCAGTTGTAAAATCATTCCATTAAATGTAAACATTTTTCCAAATTATATGCTTCTTAAATATGTATGTAGTTGAAGCAGCTGGGGGTGAGAGATTGAGGCTGGAAAACAGCATGTCCTGCAAGGTTTTAAAGAAATTGTGGCTTGAGATAGATCTTTAAGAGTGAATAAGAATTAAAAGGTGAAGTATTATAGGCAAAAAGTACAGCATGTAATTGTGGTTTATTTGGGACCTGCAAATGATTAGGAATATTAGCAGAAGAATTTGAAGGAGTTTATTATTGATTCTTGAGAAAACAATTTTAACAAATGGCAAAGGGCCCTGACTAAAGTAATTTCCAGAAATTACTAAGTAGAAATAAAGAAGGCTAATAAAATGAGCAAAAAGGGAGAGGGGGTGATTTCTGTAACGGTGAAGCCAATGTACTAACAGAAAGTAAGACAATCTGTATTTACTTTTTTTTTGGTACTGGGGATTGAACTCAGGACCTTGTGCTTGCAAAGCAAGGTGCTGTGCTGCTGAGCTATATTCCCGGCCCAACAATCTGTATTTATATAAAATATTGTTTTCAAATTTCAGAGATGATGTAGCTCCAGGTGATAATAATATCTACGGACAATATTTCCAGATGTAGTAGGGAAAGATAGTAGACCATTTGAGTTTAGAGAACATTTTCAGTAATATAATTGCTATGTTTTAGTTTTAATCTCTATATTTGAAGTATTTTGAATTTGCAAATAACTTTAAAAGAAGATATAAAATCTGTATTATCTAATAAAGGGAGGCAAACTTTATAAACATGATAAACATTGGAATTAGGATAGCAAAGTAATGAATAGCTAGTTAATTTAATTGACAATGAGCTTTGTTCAACTTCAGTGTTTTTTTTTAAATAATTTTTTGAGCGCACAGTGTATACTTAGCTTTATTCATGTTATTACTCATTTCACCCTGAAGACAAGTGAATTTGTAAAACTTGACTAGGTCTCTGCCAAGTAGAAGGCAGGATGCTGACATGGTGAGCTCTGAGGCTAGAGTGGTCTTAGAAATACGGACTTTTCTGGCATAATAGCAAGAAAGTGGATTGAAAGAAAGACTACTTGATGCTGCAGTCCTTGGAGAAACATGGAGATTGAGAAACGGCCAGTGATGATGATGAGGTAGTATTGGAATAACTGAATGGTGTGGACCTCCAAAAAAGGTGATTTGAACTCCACTAAAAACAATGGATGAATTCTGTAAGATGTAGGTATCATGAAATGATACTTTCCTATTTCTAGTCTCTCTAGTGGAACATATTGTTTGTTCTTATAAAACCTTAAATTGATTATATGTGCATGTTGGATCATATACTCATAATTGGATTACACAGTAATTTAAATATTTTCGAAGACAAAGTAATCTTCACACATGTCATATATATAGGAACTTTGCTTCCAGTATTTTTTTTTTAAGTATTCAGTTACACAAGAATATATGAATAAATTCTTAAATTATTGTAAAAATTCTTTAACATTGAACAGAAATCTCCTGATCAATCCAAATTCCCTTCTTTCTAGAGCCAGTGGCTATTAGCAGTTTGTCTTTCTCCCTCTGGTCCCTGTGGCTAATATTCCAAGTGGTCAGAAATGTGACTGTTAACTGTAATGTTAGACTGGAAGCCAGAGTCTTAGCAATGACTCCATTACATATTAGAGATTCCCTCTCCCAGTTTCTGCCCATACAGATTCCATTCAAGTTTCCTCTCTTCTTTTATTAAGTTATTCATCTTGCTCAATGTCTATCAAACTGTGATATTTCAGCCAAATCCAGTGCCAGTGCTTCTGTAAATAACAATTTTCTTGGAACATACCTTATACCTATTAATTTTTGGATCGTCTGTTGCTGTTATATGATGTAAAAAGAGTTGAGTAGGTGCCATATAGATAGTATAGTCTTCAAAACCTAAGTTATTGATTATCTGACCTTTTATAGAATTCTGCAGTTTGCACAGGGAGTGGGGTTCAGAGAGGGGGCCATAGAGATTAAGGAGACTAAGAAGAAACAAGACACATAATAGGAAAGCTGGGACTAGGTGGGGCCTGACCTCTCTGATGGGGAGGCAGCAATAACCCAGCATGGTCTGCATTTTTATTTTTACACAGTTAAAAGGGGGAAAGTGTGCAACGGGGCCAAAAGTACAAAGTCTCAATGTTTTCTTGAGAACACTAAAAATGAAACGTTCTCAAGAGCTGTTTGTGTTGTAGTTAACAGGGAGGAACATCAAGGCCAGACACCTACTAGACTGGCTTTGCTCTAGTCCCAACAACTTGTTCACATGGCTCTCCTTGCTCTACCTGAATATGTGGTTGGTTGATCTCCAGCTCAGCTGCTCCACACAACAGAAAGTGTCTGTCAGCTTTGCTCTAACTGTAGGCTTGTCAATTTTATTGATCTTTTCTGAGAAACAACATGAATTCATTCATGGCCTCTATTTTTTTTTCTACATTACTGCTTTTGCTTGGACTTTTCTTCTTCCTATTTACTGTGGGTTTGATTTACTCTTCTTTGCCTCGCTTCTTAAATTAGAAACTTGGCTTATTTTTTTCTAGATCTTTTTTAATATAAGTCTGTTAATGATACTTTCTGTTTTCCATGTGATTTTTCTTTGACTCATGAGTAAATTTTTTTTTTTTTTTGGTACTGGGAATTCAACTCAGGACCTTGTGCTTGCCAGGTAGGTGCCTGTGCCACTGAGCTATATCCCTGTCCCCATGAGTAATTTTTTGAAATTATAGATTTAATTTTTTAGGGCCATTTTAACAAATTTCACAAAACAATTCAACAGGAGGTGCAGAATTCCCTTATTGCATCCCACCCCCTTCAGGTATTTCCCACCACTGGTGTCCCTTACTGGTGTGATACATTTGTTACAACAGATAAGCCTGCATTGGTTTGTCATGGTCACTCAAGAGTCTTCGTATTAGGGTTTACTCTTAATGCTGTACCTTCTCTTGGTTCTGGCAAATGTGTAAGCACATGCCTCCACCATTACAATATCATAGAGGGTAATTTCACTACTCCAAAAGTCCCCTGTGTTACATCTGTTTCAATCTTCTATCCTTCCAAGTCCCTGCCAACCACTGATGCTTTTTTTTTAACTTTATACCTTTTCCATAATGTCATATAATTGAAATCAAGCAATATGCCGGCTTTGCAGATCAGCTTTTTTCACTTAATAATATGCATTTAAGGTTCCTTCATGTCTTTTCATGGCTTAGTAGCACATTTCTTAGTGCTAAATGATTTCTTATTGTTTGGATGTACTACAGGTTATCCCCTTACCTATTGAAGGACATCGTCATTGCTTTTAAATGT